TGGCACTCATCAGCAAGGCGTAACTGCAACCTTGAAGTACACTTTACTCACTAAGTCATACGTGTTTCCAAGCATTTAACTGATATTCTGGCCAACAGTAAATTGTTATAAATATCCAGACCACACATGTGGCGAATTTCCCAGAATAATTTAAGCGCCGTGTCAAACTGGACATTATAAAACTACTCCAAATAATCCCAGACTGCTTAGAAAATCAAATCAAGATTTCTCTGAATGTTTCGCTGTGTAAACAGCCAGTTTCTTTAGAGAAATCTTATTTTTTTAAACCCTCTGGGATTATTCCAAGCAATCTAATAATGATAAAAAGTGGATTGTATTTAGGAAAAATCAGTGTGTCGAAAAATGATTGGCTAGTGAAAAGGCAAGGGGAATAATTGCAGTAACTGAGAACATACGGTCCATTGTTAATACTGTTTATAGTTGGAATTAATAAAATCCAATGTGATAAACAGCATGAAGCCTCATGCTTAATAACCGCTTCCAGTGCAACCTATGTGAGAAAATGGAAGGTACCAGTTTCATTGAAGTCTGCCAAAAATTATGCGGAGTTATATCTCTGTAAAAACTCCCAAACCTGATATATCTTCCATATTTAAGTAGGGAGTTGGAGTTTGGCACGCTTACACTGAATATCAGTTAAGTATGTACATGTGTAAGGCAAACACAAAAAATCGAATAGTATGCGAAAATATTATTTAAGTAACATCTACTTACATTATGTATGTGAAGAAAAAGCACATTTCCCATTAGATCGGTAACTGGTTTGTTAGAAAGATATTTAATAGGGAAAAGTGGATGCGACTCATCTATATGCTTCATTCCACGATCAGTTGGATGCATACTAATGACAGCTTGAAGATTAAACATTTGACGCATCATTTTCCTGACAAATGGTTCACGTGATATCTCAAATGCAAGCATATAACGCGCTGCTGCCAGTGCTGTCTCAGAAGTAGGAAATTGTGGACACAAAAAGTCTCCAGCAGCATCCAATGGTAGCATAGGGCATTGGTCAACATCATGGCGGAGATATTGATCCTGAACATTCTCAGCAAATTGTGATGCTGAAAGTCCAAACCTCTGGACAAGCTCGCTTAAACCAGCTCGTTTAGCAACCTCATAGGAAGCAGTTGCACGAGCTTGACGCTGACGAATGGAACGTCCAGTCAATGGATCAATAGTTGTGGTAATTGGGACAGCTTTTTCAACATCGATTTCATCATTTTCTTGTTCTTCAGATTGTTCTGTTTCACCTGTCTAAAAAACATAACAGAGTATGAAGATACTACGACAAACATAACAAATAAAACTATAAATAACTCTTTGAACATACCTTATTCTTTTGACGAGCATACCATCGGTTCATTGGCTCAACATATCCAGAATAGTGAAGCAAATAACTTAATCGTACATCATACAACTCCTCTAACGAATCTGCACTGCGAGCACTAAAAAAATATATACATAAAGTATTTGATGAATGACATACCATGCAATTAACTTCAAAACTGCAGAACAATGTTTCTTTAAAGGACTAACTGCGTCTTCTGTAGTGATTGCCTCGAAATAGTCTGACAAGCGTTGAAGTAGGTTGATCATATTCTTTTTGCGTTGATGTAAGATGGTCCACTTTTCATCCATTTGGTATATCCTCCAAAGGTCTTTAATATTTAAATCCTTATCTATATATTCCTTCCGATAAAATGCGATAAAAGGGATTTCAAACAAAAATTCCCTCAAAAGTTTTAAGGTCTCGAGAATTTTAGGTATCACCGAAGCAGGCTATCAGTAATGTAAGCTAGATTTAATCGATAGTTACCTTATAATCAGCACTTTCTTTAAAAGTATGACGATAAATCCACTCTGCTTCATTTGAAAGCTCCTGTAGATCTTCGGCATATGTTGCTGAACACGAATCTATGCACTTCACTGGGACCTGACGAAGTTGAAAACGCTCCGGTATATCAGTTTTTCTAATGCGTTCATCTGCTTGACTATAGTAAGCCCTTTCAAGATCACTTGGATCGAAAAGTTCATAAACACGATCATCCATAACATGACTTGATGGTGGTCGACGATGTTTTTGTCGTCTTGCTTTGGAGCCCTCTTCTTCATCTGAATATTCATATTCTGACTCTTCACTATAATCATCGCCAGTACGAGGCTTGCGGAATGCTTCAAACTCCGACATATCAAAGTCAACACCAAAAATGTTTTGAGCTTGTTGAAGTGCTGCATCCTTATGTACTATACGCTTTGAAGGCCTTGAAGGTGGAGCGCCTGTCCTGTCATCCACAATAAAATCACCCATATCTGCATCACAAGTAAGAGAAAAATGAATTAATAAGAATAAATATACACAGAAACGATAACCACCACTAGTATTCTGGAATTATCAATAGCCTTAACAGAATTCATCTGACCAGTTGATAATGAAACAATGTTTTTACGACTCACGAAGACTGAAAAATGTTACACTGGTGAATAAAATGTTAAGTCCAGGTACCCACTGAGTGAGTTAGTTAAGTATCATGAATGAATACACACAATCTTTAAAAGTAAATCAAGATTTGTTCTGATTGTATGGGGATTAATAATACCAGCAGCTTGTTGAAACCTTAGTAATCTGGGATTCCTATTTTTAGTCAGGGATAAGACATTCAACGGAGTCCAAAACCTGACTATTGATAACGATACAACTGAAGACGACCAGCAAAAAGCGGAAGGAGTGGCAGACTACTTCTACAAAATATCCACACAGGAGTCGTCACTCCCCACCCCTCATAACGTTTTGGGAATACAGGGTAAATTTTGTCGACATCCACTAAAACATCTTATTCCAGTCCCTAAAGAAACTAAACTCATGGAAATCAGTGGAGCGCGATGACCTTCATCCAATGCCTCTCAAGGAGCTACCGGCCTACACACAGCCGCCCCACTGACTGCGATCTCCTGACTATCTCCCTTGAATGGAGTGTTACTTTGCGACTGGAATGACTCCACAGCAACCTCTATCTACAAAGCAGGATCCACACACCGTCCTTCAAACTACAGGCCTGTCAGTCTCACCAGCACCGTAATCAAGATACTGGAAACAATCATCAAGAAATTCATCATGTATTTCTGGAAAACAACCACTTGTTGTCATGAGCGATATTTTGAATACAATTAGTCACCTATGTTTAATAATACTGTGCAAAAGAATGAATGTCGCACGGAAATATAGCAGTACTGGGTGAAATCCAAATCGAATTGTAATCCATGAAAATTGAGAAAAATCTAGCTGTTGATACTCAAATAGAACTAAACAGTCCAGTAAAATAGTTTCATTTTCCTTTATGAATTATATAATGATAATATCCCGCTGACACATCGAAGTACGATAAAATAAAATTCGAATTCCAGACACATAGGTGAGAAGTTTACTTACGAAGCTGATATTCCATACACTCTCTTTTATCCTGATGGATAACAAACAAAAAGCAAAAATGCAACTAAACAACTCCATTTACTATGTAATGTGCTAGCCCTAACTATAAATAACTGTAGCACGGTGAATTACATGAACTAAAGCTGGGAAGACGAGCTTATGCTGAAAATATGTATGACACCGTGATCATTGTACTCAATCCTAATTAGATGACCCTCAATTTTAGAATAGATAAATAGTTTCAATTAAAAGTTTTGAGAAAAAAAATCTCTATCACTACACAAAAAATTTCAAATAATGATTACCATCATCTTCCTCTTCCTCGTCTTCTTCATCACCGACTGATACACCAAAATCTGCTGGACGACTCCGAACGACTCTGTCCTCATCTACTTCTTCATCTTCGTCTTCAAATATCTGACGCGCGATAGCTTCTCTTCCTCGATCTTCTTCATAAGCTGTCTTTTTTGATGCAACTTCATCTTCATCTGCTTCATCATCATCATCCAGTACCAATCGTCTCTTTTTCTAAAGGGGTAAGAAATTTATGAGAATGTATGATTTTATTTTAACCACATATTGATTATAAATGAACAAAAACTTGACCTAGTCTATCAAAATTAAAAAAAACAATGACCAGCAGAATTCAATAAATAATTCTCCAGCTCATTATTTATTTCTACATTTCTAACCCCCAATAGCACAATGTCAATCTTCCTAGTTATTATGCTACTTTGTTTGAGTTTTACCCATGCCCCTGTTTATTATGGCATTCTAATTCCTAATTGTAATTTTGATTAATTTGACCCCTAACCGGAAATTATTCTGGAACTTTCCCATCCATTTGATATAAATACACGAATGTACAGCCTAGATGATGACTTCGTCGAGAAGAAAATTTTCTTCGCTGCAACTTTCTTTTTATTCCCTATGATCGAATGTGTATATTCCGTGAGCTCATTAGTCATAAAGACTACAGAACTTACACTAAATGTAGTGTTTCTTGAGAATGTTTTGTGGATTTTGCCGCTTAAGATTCAATTCGCAGGCTCCATCACCTGCGAATTTCACGAGTGGAAAGATATTGAGTCCAACTCGGTAGGATCAAACGAATATGTGCAAGTAACAGTGAAGAATTGCTATGACAGGTAGTCCGCAACCCACCGAGTGGAGTTCAAGTGCGAAAATCAACGAAATGTAACCTGACTTAATGACATTTAGACGTTAGATGTGAACGATAAAACAATTAGGGTCAGGTAAGAATACGGAGGAAATTCACTGAACCAATAAGTAATCATAGTCAAGTAAGAATTTAGACCACTACAAAAATCGTTTTTGAAATTATGAAGACCACCAGCACTTAACATATTTTTCACGTTGATTATTACTATTTATTCTCTACTGCTTGTATAATATAACATTGAAGTTTACTCATCATAACAACTCATATGAGTCACATAACTTACTGTAATAGAATGATTAAGTGAGGACAAGACTAGAAATGGACAAATTTGTAACCACATTAAAATTTCGACACTTAAAGAGAGGAATCAGTTGTATACGGAGACAGCGAACTTTTTACATCGACATTAGGAGGATCGGTTGACAGGATATACCTCTAACAATCAGATGCGCGATATTACTACCGGTGGTAAAAGATATTACTGTAAACATTTAATAACCGCTACAGTAATACAAAAGAGCCTCAGATGAAGACCAATCAGTGACTAAGTCTGTGCATGTTTTAACAGTAACTGGGACACATTGCATTACTTTTACCTCGATATGCTAAATGTGATAAGTGCTTCATTACCTAATAGTTGCTGACACCTAGCTGCTACGTTCGAGTCTCATGGAAATCTTTTGATCTTAAAATATAGAGTCCATTGTAAGACATTTGTCTGTTTTCGACATAGAACAGCAGTTCAAGTCGTCACACTCACTCCATGTAGCACACCGACCAAGAGAAGAAAGTAGAAGAAATGCATAACAAAGACAGTAGACAGGGATATGAGACAAAAGGAATAGTAATAACGAAGAACAATATAGTTTCATTGGAAATTATAAGTCACAAGGAGTGGATGCATCTGCACCAGTCATTGAGAACGATTTTGAGCTAGCCATATCACCAATTGTCTCCAGCCTTCATTGGCTTTTACCATCCCGAGGAGCCCAACCAGGAAGCCAGTCTACACCTTCTTACGCAGCCGGCTTAAACTAACTGTCGTGGATTTCATTGACTGGTGCCATGTTTTGGTTTGACCAGCCTGACGCTATGTCATCTAACATTGTCCGTCGAGGAAGGCGATGGCTAAGCGTGCATGCGTAACACATTTCCTAATCATCTCAGTCGATGAAGCTTCACAGCCTCGTCTATTGACTTCCCCTCCTTACCTAGCACTCGACCGATTCCCAACCTCAATACTGCTCACCCTATTATACCATTTCACTCGGGAGATAGAATGCAGACACCTATGTTCAAAGACAGCTAGCCAGCCTTTTCATGTCTTCCACTCTCAATGACCCGGTCTCACTCACAGCCATAAGAGAGGATGGAGCGAACTGCTGAGCTTTTTGGTCGATAGCCGGATATCACGTCTACGTCAGAGTTGGCGTAAACTGGCGTATGCGAAACTAGCCCTCTGTATCCGTGCTGAGATTTCGTCAGCGATCAACCCTCTGGCTTTGGTTGATGTAACTTCCCAAATAAATGAAGTGGTCAACATGCTCTACCACTTCACTCCCCATTATTGTAAGACATCAGTCAGGAGGCAAATGCAACGAAGGTTTTTATTCATGCCTAAGACAAGCTGGTAGAAAATATTTGGAAAACTGTGACGGAGCTAAATTAAGAATAAGCCTAGGCTTGAAAATTCGAGGAGCATAATCGTATGAAATTCATTGGTGTAACCCCCATTACTGATAACCCTGCATTACTCTTCACATGACCATCTATATAGGTGAAAATGTTAGACATTACACTTAGATATACCATGCCACCCAAAAACACTCAGATCTATTTTTATCTTTGAAATTCTTAAAATGGTTGTTCTTTTTCCCATCTGTATATCCATGGTTGTGAACTCCGCAAACTACTACTACCACTATTGCTTACCACTATGTCAAAGGAAGGGTTTAAGAACGGATGAATCGCATGACAGTAAGAAGCAACATAGTGTATGGTAGTACTATTCTCAACAGGTTTTACAAAAACAACAAAATGAAATACTTAACCTAAGATGCTTCAAAATACCATTCACAAAGCCAGCTGAATATATATATATATATATATATATCGATTACATTTGTAATTTATAGTGAACACCGGACGACACCTATGTGAGACGATCATTGTCCCATTATTCACAAGCTTACGTATTTGATGCTTATTAACTTGTAAACCTAAATTCTCTAGTTAGCTGAATAAGCCACATACGTCAAGAAATTATTTACATGTGTATGCCAAGCCAGTCACATTCTTCGATATATAGTGAGCATTAAAAACAGCAGGTTCCAGGCGGTATAATAAGCAACACAGAGATCACACTGAAGACAACATACTTGCTTTTTCAGATTAATTCCAACATTTTCCTGAATGAGCTGGAAGTCATCATCGTCTAAAGCGTCATCATCATCGTCGTCCTTATCCCCTTCATCTCCAACTCCCTCAGTATCCTCTCCATCAGAGCCTTCAGATGCACCACCTTCATCATCCTCTTCATCCACTATCCAGCCTTCACCTTCTTTCCGACAAATTTCGTCCTCGTTGGCAAGCTCTTCCTCCTCTTCGCTATCACTTGAATCTGGATCATCAAGTACCGGTCGCTTGCTGATTTTCTTTTTCACTACTTCATCTTCATCCAAATCTGACAGTTCAGAGGCTTCGGATGCTTCAGAATCCAACAGTGAAGACATCAGTCGGTAAATCCGCGCACAAAACCAAACCAACCGCTCAAGGTCACGAGATGTTAGATTCGGATGATGATAAATATTGAGCTATTTTAACTTGTGTCAAACCTGGCAACATATATCTCTGTGGTTATAGCTTTTTCCTCATGGTGCATTAGGATATCTAGAAATCATAAGCACACTGTCTTCCGTCAGTTTATTTTTACTTTTTAGGTGACTGCGAATAGTGAGTCATTTGAGGCGATAGGATTAATACCTCTAAACGCTTTTGTGGAGATTAGGGTATATTTATTTTTTCGAACAGGAGACGATCTTTTTACCCAGAAGGGTCTCAGGATGTCCGCTTTTACTTTGTAATTCAAAGATAACGTTGAGTTGCTCACTAAGGTAGTAGCTACAGGAGAACACCTTCAGCGGGAACTATTTTAAGGTAGCTTTAGGTAATGCATCATAGAAGCAAGCGGTGTATGTTTATTGTGTCTAAATATATTAAACTTTGTATAAACAGTCAAATCTTAGTTCTCACATACGAATTAGTTTTATAAATAATGAGTGTACCGTACAAGCGTTTACCTTGATTTGCATACCTAGCTCATAAACACTATGCATGCATGTGGTATACATTTAAGGCCGATATGCTGTGTGATGAATTGGTCTGAGATACTTAACGTCAGACCTGTTTTCTGTACCGCTATCATCAATTTCAAAACGGTCATAGGAATTAAAAGCTTCATCTAACTTTCTTTTACATCGGAAACTGAAATTAACAGTCTGACATTTGGAAGGATTTAGTTTAAAAGCATTTTCTGAATCCTGACGGGGAGCTGTTCATCTTAGTACAGTGGCGGTGGGCGACTTACCCTGACATACAGTGTACTGATTTCTTCCTGATAAATAAGAATGAAGCCATTTAACAATCCAACACTCAGTTTGAGTTTCAGCAAGCTTATTTAACAAAATGTCCCTAGGTACTGAGTCGAAAGCAGATGTGTAATCTAGGAAGGTGCAGTGAATAAATTTAGCCCCCTTGTCTATACCGGATAAAATGTGATGCAATACTGCAGCTGCATCTAAAGTACTTCTACTGTGTTTATAGAAGAAATGTTTGGGATCGTTAAAGGCTTTAAGTGAAGTAAGAGTAACCTTGCCATAGTTTTTAGAGAAGGAGAGATAATAGCAATAGGTCTAAATTTAAAACATGTTACAGTAGATGACTTAGGTATAGGTACAATTTTAATGTCCTTCTAAACGGCTGGAATGACATTTCTGTAAAAAGATTCAATAAATATGTCCATGAGAGGATAACATGGGATATCTGCACCTTTTTAAGAATAAGGATAGGCAAACAAACTAGGCCACAAGAAGGGTTTGGCGACTGGAGATATTTTAGAACGTCATTTGTATTGAAACCAGGGAAGCAACTCTTATTACCACTTGTGGCACCAGAAACCTTGGCATTTGTAAGAGAATGTATGAAAGACATGTTTAGTGTAAACACATCAAATGAATAGGGAATACTGTTGTAATACTGGAGGTAATTAGATGCATAAAGGCGTAAGTTATTTAATATCCATAAAGTAGATATACAAATACCGCAGTTGTTGATCATAGAAATGATCGATATTAGGTAATACCACATGATTCAGTGGCATGTTAGAATTAAATAAAAATTGTCTCTTTGCTCATTGTCAGGTGAACAATCTATTTGATGATGTTACTCCATATTAACAGATTAGTGAAGTAGCTATCAAGCCTAAGTTACTACATTTACCTGTACTACAGACTTGGCGTTTAACAGTATACAGACTTGAACTGGCTAGATAAGGCGACTTTAGCGTATCGAACAGTACAGAATTATTATTTAGCTTGCTAAATCCTACTTATTTTTTGCAATTTGCTATTGTATAGAAACACACGAAATCTTACGAATGACTAAAGTAACAGTCTCATAATACTCTAGTAAATCTCCACTCCACGAACTAAGCTTAAAATGCATTGTTCCGAATTCACTTATTACAAAAGCACAAAGTATAGCGACGCACTGAAAAAGTCTAGAGGAAGTCAAGGGTATATCAAACATTCCATTAATTTACAAAAAAAGTTCTGATGAAGGGTATTAACGTCAGTTTGACCGAATGATATTTTCACTGATTTCATATTCGACAACCTCCGTATACCTGAAAAAAAAATAACATGTAAGGGCTAGCACAACACAAAGTTATGAAAGATAATTCGAAACATATAATCATACACTATGAATACACTGATTCTGTTAATACGAAGTAATATCTCATGCAAATAAATGTATTTGTAGTCCACAGCTGGTTTTTATATTGACACCGTAAGCATCAATCGACCTCACATGTTTTCCAGTATTAGAGGATTGTACGCAAATTTTAAGACAATCTCCGAAACATCCATGCTGTTGAGGTGCCTTTCTCTCATCAAGACTACTTGCAGATCAACCTCACACTAAATACGTTTACATTAAAGGAAGTATCGCAAATGTATAACTTAGAAATTCATTCAAAATCTCAGCAATGTCTAGTGGACGCGGTTTTATTAATCCTACAGAAAAAACGTACTCATATTTAGGAAACTACATCCACCACATAGAAGCTGAACACGCCCCAACTCTAAACAGCCATGCACAGTGTTAACAACATACAGAAACACTTAAGATGTTGTGAGATACATAGACTCGTCGTGTTGATGAGGATAAAAATGTCATATAATGCAACCCAGACATTCAGTCCTGACACTGCATCTTTACTGCTTCATGTAAGTGGATATCTCAGGAGAAATTCATCTCCACTATTGGTGATCAAAAATACTGGTGCATTAAGTATACAGTGTCAGTTAGAATGGTATAACAGCAGATGGTAAGTTACTAATAATAGAGATAACTGGATTCAGTTCTCATGATCAACACAATCCATGTGTATAATAAAACTATACACTGAATTGATGCACTAAGTGACACAGTAAGGAAATTTAAGCGAGTGGCTGCTTTCTCCAATGCACTGCAATTGAAGCGATCATGAGAACAACCTATATTTGTTAGCCTAGCAGTCAGCTGAACAGACAATGGCACAATATTTATGAAGTTGAGGTATTTTGATACATTGAAATCACATAAGCCATATTGCACTGCACCAATCAGTGTAAATGTTTATTAAATCCACTTAGAGATAACCTTTCAACTTACGATAATTCCTGTCCAACTGCAGATAAAGTGACAAGCACATCTACATGATGACTTAGGTTCCCACAGAAGATTCTGTTAGCATTTATGGGTGATTTCCATGAAAATAGGCTGAATTAATATCCTGAGACATGAAGTGTTCATTGAATGATACTATGTCGAAAGGTGCAGCTTCTACATGGAGTAAACGATTTGTGTAAATGACATTACCCTCCAACCATCCTATCTTCCTCATTATAGCGATATTTTGACACAGTCCGCCTGAAACACCATTCATTGCAACCAATTTGCTAGGAGTGTGTCGCAGTCAGATCACATGACGCGGACACCAACATAACTAGCCAGGAAATGGGGATTCCCACCAATCCAGATACCATATAACACAATTTTATTAAAGCTTATTGACAAAAACAATTTACGAGCGAAATTTCAACCAAACCTGACATATAAATACAGCTCGCCCAGGCAAACGTGGTTGACGTGATTTTGGTGCTCATTTTGCTTTTGTTGCATGAATTTATGTGAAAATTGTTGTTCAGTATTGTTATTGAACATTTACGTATTTCCCGTGCGGTAGAACGCTTAAATATATGGTTCATGTAATGATTATATGGCATACCGAGTATGCCTCGCGTACATTTCGACGACTGTCTATCGACAATTTTCTCTGCAGCTTGGCGGAAACCTGTACTTGGCCGTAAATTTCTCGATCAGCCGTTGTCCAGTACCTAATTCTGTTGCAGGAACCGGAGAATACGGTTGATGTCGAATTCGAGCCCTAGCTCCTCTATTGCGAAACATATTATAGAGACAGGACATAAAATCGACGTTTGCACATTTTTTACACCTATCTATGAAACGTGTTCAGATTGTATCCCAAAGTTTGAGGAAGCCCAAGTGTGATTAGGAAGTTTAAACCACCTTTGCGAGTTCCAAAACTATTCGTCATCACACGAAACCTTCTCTGGTAAACTACGTTTTGATACTAGTCAGCGTAGATGTACTAATACCTCTGTTATTTGGCTTAGTGATCTTCATTTTTATTTTGACCTTCAATATGTGATTTTAATTCCACCTAAATTTTTTTTCTAACCTCTTAACTCCATTAATTTCATATGTATTCCTATGACTAGTCCATGTGTGACCAGATTGTCCAAAATGTGTTGCACAAGTACAACACTACACGATCCAGACAAATTCCGTCTTCTTATTACTCAGTCTAAATATCCACCTGCGTCAAAAATGTTGACTGATGTAATATAATATAATACATATATTTATTCCTATTTATGTAGGAACATACCATTTGTACAGGCATGGATAAGTTATCATATAAATTACAAATATTTCGATGTATGGTGAATTTACAGTTTGGTTGTTCTTTCTGACATTAGAGTCAGTCGGAACAGTCTGCTAAATAGCCTGTATGTGTAACACATAAAGAGGTATATAAATATTATCTTCGCATTAAGAAAAAACCCAGACATCAGATGAATGTAATACAAATGTCTGGGAAAAATAAAGCTTGAAGTCAATTCTCCTATATAACTTTGTTGTGAACAGTATCCTTGACCTAATGTTCATTGATGCATTACGTTGAGATCAGTGATATGTTTATTCCATTTTTTCAGCAGTCTTAACGTAGTTTTTTAACAGGAAAGAAATTTGATCGTGGATACGAAAACTAGATAAGTTCATGTTGGATAGTTTTACTGCATAAAATGGGGCCGAGGTCGATTCCAGAACTCTCTATTGGCCCACATTGCTGTCCTTTCTGACAATAGTTTGTGAGTACAATCTGATAGCTAGTCATGCAATGCAGCACATTAAGAAATATAGAAATATTGTCTACTTGTTAACAAA